AGCAATCACAAAGAGGCTTTGGAGCAGGACTGTGCACCTCTTTGTGACCACTTTCACCTGACGATTGGCAGCAACCACTTGCCAACCGGTTTGGCAATATATTGTTCCCTAGTGACCAATGGTTGCCAGGTGGTTGCAAACAGGTCTCTAGGTCTGGGTGACCGAGGCCTTGGTTGTAATGTCACTTAGTGGCATGCTTCTCTTGGCTGGTGAACACTGACAGTTTATTTGTCTTTAAGTAAGCAGATAAATTAAAATTACTGGTTCAATCATGTCATTTGTACATGGAAAGTCTGAAAAGGAGATTACAGCATCAATTATATTTTCCACAGTGTCAGTATATGTGTGTGAAATATAAATACTGCTCTATGTATGAGTAAATTTTGTTAACGTGCTTGTGTGTGTATGAAATAACAGTAAAAGTAAAGATGAGATTCATCCACATGTACACACAGATACACACAAACTCAAGTACCTGTTTTAGCTCCACCCTCATCAGCTCTCATGCTTGCAGCTTTGGGTCAGTGTGTGTGTGTGTGTGTGTGTCTTAGTGTAGAGGAGGCTGGACTCTGTGCTCAGTGCCCTGCTGTACCTGTCTCTCATGGAGGTGGACTAACACTCCCAGAGCAGGCGGCCAAGCAGCGGAGCGCTGTGAAGCAACAGGGGTAGATATCCTCCTCTCTGACCACTCTCTGCTTCTACTTCCTCTTCTCTTTTCCACCACCATCCCTCTGCTACGATCTTTCTCAAGATTTCTACTCTGTTTTACTCTCACTTCCCCGTATCTCTAGCTCCCTTTGATTGGATAGGCGCTCGCTGTCCTTGAATGACAACTTTTTGTGACTTGAGACTATGCGTTGATTATTGTTGTTGCAGTTATCTCTACGGACCTGTCTTTGAAGGATGGTTTAAATAGTATTTGAGTTATTTAGGACTTACCTCAAACTTACCTTAACAGACCACATCTGTTGTTATCTGGCTGGTGTTTGTGTTGCATGTATAAAGCAGCAGGACTCAGGCTTATTTAAACGTTGGTGCTTCCACGATCCTGTTCTGCTGCCTTGCGACGCTGTTGTTAGGGGGCTGCTGGGGGGACTGTGAATCAATTTCCTCCACGTGTCTACATGAGTGTGTGGCTAAAGATGGCAGCCTTCTTAGGCCTATTTCATCAGTGCTCTGGATCGCTGTACAGACCTCTGTACATGCATATTCCTCTGATAAGAGAAATCCTAAAGTCATAAATAATACAATATCCTTCCTTTTCATAGCTGACTACAGATTCATAATGTTATATGCTCACTTGCTCTTTTGAGAAAAAAGATGGATTTTGCAAGTCAATCTGTGTTTATGACGACCTGAAGAACTCTGTAAAAGCCTCTCTGTCCGCTCATAAAACAACTCAGTCCCCAGTAACACGCTGTTAATATGCAGAGAATCAGGTGCTTCTATCAATCATAAACGTAACGTAGCAAGCAATCTCACGGGAATAGCTCGGCTCTGTTAACTAAACAAATTCCCGTTCTTGAACTTCCTTCGCTTGTTCGCTTGCCAGTCGTTCTATCTTGCGCCGCTCTGAGTTCGTAACCTTTGACCAGGCGAACTCTGAGCTCTTAATGTCAAGGTAGATTATTTTTAACGAAGTAACTAGCTGTTCCTGTTATGCCCCAACAAAGAGGCTCAAATCTGAAGATGTGAGCCACACCTAAGTGGTCATAACTTTTCAAACTCCTTGTCTTTACTGGATGAGACACCATCTGTAAATCTTTATGCTCTCTGTGAATAAAGGCTGTGATTTGTGTTCACCTTGGTTAATTATCTACCTGTTTCAGCCTCAGGTTTCCTCCTCCTCCCCACTCTGCCTTTCTCTGTCACTTATACACATGCAGGATTGAATGCTGAAGATGTTCCCCAAGCTGCTTTTTGTCATTTAATATGCTGTGTTGTACATGTGCTACACAAAGGATCTCAAATTCATGCAAATTATTCTCATATTTTTACAACAGAGTTTCACTTCACTCCTGACACGGTCAGCACTGAGGAAGTTAGGAATGTCTAGGAAGTGGTGAAAAGCAGGAAGAATGATTTAAATTTGTTGTTTTTTTAATACTAACTGCTTCAGTGCACAAAGTGTCAAGCTCACTGTGTTACAAAGCTTCATTTTATCATCCAGCAGAACTCCCAGTGTGAATATTGTCCTCCTTTTGTCATCAGCCTGGTAAGATAAGGCTGATATGAGGTCGAGTCATGTTAGCACTTCACACGGTAGAAGGAACAGAGGGAGGGCAGACAAAGAAAACCACACTGAAGCAAAAAAATAGAAGAGATTAAAATGTCATGAGCTGCAGAGATGACTAATACGCTGCATAGTTTGTTTGCATGCCAAAACAAACTACTTTCATAAATGTTTTCAGTGGCAGCCCTAAAAAGGGACGTGAAGTGACAAAAAATACTGATAAAGTGCAACAAACCATGTAAGACATTTAGGGGTTTTTTGTCATAAAGGAACATTCCATCAATAATCATATTTACCGAGGATGATTTTACGTCTGTCGTCTCCTTATAATTACTTTGCACTGATTAAAAACACAAGACTACATGCAAAGGAAGCTGTAAGGTAGTGGTTAGTGTGTCCAAGCATATAAAATACACTATCACAAGTTTTCACCACCTCATAAAATATGTACTGATATGTGCAACTATTTTAGGACACTTTTATTTTTCGTACATTAACACAGGTGTAATGTACCCACAAGGCATCTTTCTGATTAATTTTTATATCCCCCTTTTTTCTTAAAAAAAAAATTTGTCTACAACTGGCAGAAGATTTTATTTCTTAAGGTGAAGGGTTAGGGTTGCCTTTGATACGGGTGCCAGTTTAGCTCAGTTGGATGAGCAGGCAACCATATGCCACAATACTGAAAGCGGCTGGCTGGAGTTCGGGTCTGACCCGTGGCCCTTTTTTCCTCTGCTTTCCTGTTGATCTTCACAGGAAAAAATATATTTAAACAAAAAAGTTGTCTTCTATAGACTAACATTAGCCTATAGAGGGGTCTTACTGAGGTCACACATACATTGCTGGACAGTTGTTCGCCACATTTGATGTGTTACAACTTGGTCAAACTTGGAAAAATGTGTATTCCCCACACGGTGAGTGGCTGTTAGCTGTCAGTAAGTCATACTGGTCAAAAACATGGTGCTGCACCAAAAAACCTAGTTGTGATTGCTTTGGTCTTTAGCAGATTGCAGCTACTTGTAGTTTTTGCATAGAGGACCCCAACCCCAAAGAGCTGCTAGCTGAGTGGTAGGAAAACTTGAAAAAGTGTGTCTCAAACTGGAAGCAGAGACATACTTCCAAGTATGAGTTAGTTTGAAGGTGACAGTGTCTGTTTGGCAGCCTAGTTTAAAAAGCACCTCCCAACAACAACAGCTCCTAGAAACCTTCCATTGAATTTGCACGACATACGAATTCTAACATTAACCTCAGACAATCCACGCACCGCAGAAAAATTTGAACCTGTGGATACAACCTGGAAGGCTTCGGCATGATTTCTTAGTAAGACCCGTGTGCTGATAGGTAGGCCAGTTAAATGCTCAAAGGTTTTGCTTCCTGAGCTAGAATACACACATTGTCCTTAGTTTTACCCAAGAACAGGTCCATGACCCATTCATGGAAAACTATTTTGGAAAAGCAGATATAAATGAATGTCATCTTGACCTTCGTCGGGATTCAGCAACCAGTGGTGAACTACTGGCAAAAGATAAAGGAGGAAATTTTTTTTTTTTTCCCACACTTGGTGATTTCCTTTTCCTTTTCCTAACCGTTTGGGAGTTTGTGCTTTGTTTAAAAAAGACATTTAAAGCTTCCTTCCTTTTTTGTACTATCATCCATGTTTGAACTAGTCATTCTAAGCCTTGGACAAAGTGACATGTGAACAGGTTTGTTTGTAGGAGAGTGGGATGTTGGGTCAGGTCAGATCAGTGTGCAGGTTACCATGGTTGCTTGGCTTTTTAGTGTTTTGCCTTTGTTGACTGCCTCACCTATCTCCATCCTAGTCCAGGCAATCTTGTGCTGCACAAAGAAACCCAAGCAAAGCCTAAGTAGCGAGTATTTGTTTTTTTGGTCTATATGTTTTTACATGATACCGAGTCACATCAAATTAGTGTTATAGTCTGTTCTGATTGGTTGCTTACTATTTTATGCAGCATGATTTGGGGGATTTAAAAACCTGTGGATTTTTCCATTCTGAATGCCGGCTGTGTTGGAAAATAACAGAGTAAGAGGTTTATGTTCGGGAAGCCGATTTCTGATTGTTCTCTGTTCCTTTTTTAGGGCTGCACTACTTAATGAGGACACACTGAAACACACATGTGCACACACTAATAGCTGCACCCACACTCTGTATGGCATTCATATTGATAAGGAGATGGAAAATCCAACACCGCCACGTGGTGAGCGTGCACACAGGAGGCTTGTGTGTAGCAAAGATGAATGTGTGCAGCCTTTTGTCACATAACAGGGTTTATGTTACACAAAATTCCTTATATAGCTTAAGTCCTCGCTGACTTTTTACACACAAGCGCACCACAAACACACATGCACTGAGCATGTGACCTAGTCATACTTGGTGAACCTTGAGCTGGAGGTTTCAGGGTTTACAGCCCTTCAATCTGTCTGATAGGGGTCAGAGGTCAGCAAGCGATCTGAGTTACTCAACAAAACAAGGTTGTAAAACCACTGATAGGGGAAGGCGCCCTGAGGATTTATGGATGCTGTATTTCCACTGTGGTGTTCAGGCCTCGTAATGTGTGCTGGTTTGTTTTAGTCAGGTAATCTTGCATGCATGCAAATTGTGCTCAAAGTCAGCAATCAGTCACTGTTGTTTAAATGATGTCTTCTGATCATCAGCCTATTTTCTTCCCGCTGTATTTTTTTTCTCTGTCTTTACAGCAGCCATTTAATTCAGTATAATTTGACAGATCTCTCTCTTATCCTCCTTCAGGCCCTGATCTGATTGGATGGTTTTGTCAGAATGACAGCTGAAGATCCTGCTTCTTCTTCGACCATGAGTAACAACGTTGCCCCCTCCAAATCCTCTGGTGCCCATCACTCTCACCATGGACAGCTCAACATCCCTGAGGGTGTTGCTGGTGCACCTAATGAGGCCTCACTGGTGGCCCTGATGGAGCGTACTGGCTACAGTATGGTCCAGGAAAATGGTCAGCGAAAGTACGGTCCCCCTCCCGGTTGGAATGGTGCATCTCCTCCTCGAGGCTGTGAGATCTTTGTCGGAAAGATTCCGCGGGATGTTTATGAAGATGAGTTGGTCCCAGTGTTTGAGTCCGTAGGACGCATCTATGAGATGCGCCTGATGATGGACTTTGATGGGAAAAATCGAGGGTACGCTTTTGTAATGTACACAGAGAAACACGAGGCCAAGAGAGCCGTGCGGGAGCTGAATAACTATGAAGTGCGGCCTGGGCGGCTGCTGGGTGTCTGCTCCTCAGTGGACAACTGCCGTCTTTTCATTGGTGGCATTCCCAAGACCAAGAAACGTGAGGAGATCCTGGAAGAGGTCTCCAAGGTGACAGAAGGCGTATTAGATGTGATAGTTTATGCCAGCGCTGCAGACAAGATGAAGAACCGTGGCTTTGCCTTCGTAGAGTATGAGTCACATCGTGCAGCAGCCATGGCTCGTAGGAAGCTGATGCCTGGACGCATTCAGCTGTGGGGCCACCAGATTGCAGTGGACTGGGCAGAGCCAGAGATTGATGTAGACGAAGACGTGATGGAAACAGTGAAGATCTTGTATGTCAGGAATCTAATGATGGAAACCAGCGAAGAGACGATCAGACAGGTGAGGACCGACTGGCTATTTGGGTTCGAGCATGCAAAACATTTCTGACACGATTTTAATTTCTCCCATCCTTTGTCTTTAGATTTTCAGCCAGTTTAACCCTGGATGTGTAGAGCGTGTAAAGAAAATCCGTGACTACGCCTTTGTCCACTTTACCTCCCGGGATGATGCTGTGTTGGCTATGGACAACCTCAATGGCACAGAGGTAGAAGGGTCCTGCATCGAGGTGACACTCGCCAAACCTGTCGATAAAGAGCAGTACTCACGCCAGAAGGCTTCAAAGGGGGGAGCTCCTGCCACTTCAGAGGCTACTCAGCAGAACTACGTTTATCAGTGTGATCCCTACACATTGGCATACTATGGTTATCCTTACAACACCCTCATTGGACCCAACAGAGAGTACTTCGTCAAAGGTTAGAATGATTTTTTTTTTCAATCAGTAATAATCTGTTGCAAAATTCAGTGTTTCATGAAAAACCCTCTTGGTTGGAGCCAAAGCTCCAAAACATTTTAGGATCTCGTGATATGAAAACAGTATTTACTGTAAGAAATTTTCAGACGTTCAAAAGGACAATATGATCATTTAAAGATTCATTTGATGAGAAATTTTAAAGAAATCTTTAACTTGATGAGGGTTTGTGGCTTAAAATCACTTTTATGTTACAACCACAATTCCAAACAAGTTGGGACACTGTGTAAAATGTGAATAAAAAAAAAGAACGCAATGATTTACAAATCTGACAAACCCATATTTTAGTCACAATGGAAGACATCGGAAGAAGCATATCAAATGTTTAACTAAGACCTTTTTCTTTAAAGACAAAAATTAGCTCATTTTGAATGAAGGCGTGATCTTTGGGCCCTCCGGCGGCGCTACAGGCGTTATTCTGTCATGGAAATCACTGCATGTGCTCAGGAAGACTTCCAGAAATCACAGTCTGTGAACACAGTTCAATGCACCATCTACAAATTCAGGTTAAAGCCTTATGTGAATTGTTGTTGGATTAAGACTCATTTAAAAATGGATTGAGACAGAACAGAAAACTGTTCTGTGGTTAGGGGAATCGAAATTCTCAGGTCTTTTTCAGTTCCCAGAAGTTTACGGAGTGTTGTTCAGAGCGTAATGGATACTACAGTGGTGAACATGGGCCTGTCACAACTTTTTGAGAAGCGATGCTGCCATTAAATTCAACGTGATCAGATTCTTTCTTTAAATACATTTCCTTAGTTTGAAGTTTTCGTACATTTTCTTTGTTCTAAGCTTTGAATAAAACATGTGTTTGTGAGATTTGCATATCGTTGCCTTCTGTTTTAATTTACATTTCACACAGCGTCCCAACTTTCTTTTGGAACTGGTGTTGTAAAAGGGAAATACAAAACCAGCTGATGGATCAATGAATGCTAATCCCATCACCTTTAATGATTGATTTTAAATATGGTCTTGGGTGATAGCAGGAAAATCTAACTTTGAGCAATCATTGTGTTTTGGTTTTCTCTCCAAAGGATCCCCAATGATACAGAACAATGGTAATCTCTCACATCCTTATTCCTACTTGTTACTCTGATGAACAATGAGCCTTCTTGCCATGTGACAAACTATACATTTTCTAACACCATCTTTTTCCTGCTGTGCTGTCACCTCCCATTTCATGCTGGGTTATTAGAGAGCTCACCACCAAGTGGCAAAACTCTTGGAATACAAGTCGACAACATTATGGAGTTACATAATAGACCTAATATAAGAGACAGAGGCCACACTAAACCCAAACACCTCCAAGTCGGAGCAAAAATTCAGTAGCAATATTTCTCTATGTGCAGAATATTAGCTAAAATATGAGTTAAATTAGTCGTGTGCAAGTTCTGATGTCTTGAGAAACTTTCAAAACTCATCTTGCCAAAATTGCCCCAGCTGCCCTAAACCACAACCCCTGTCATCATATCCCCTTAATTGTATTTTAAGCAGGTACTGTGAGAGGTCGTGGTCGTGCTACTGCAGGTAATCGTACCCCTGGGCCACGGGGGTCGTACCTCGGAGGTTACTCTGCCGGTCGTGGCATCTACAGCCGCTACCACGAGGGCAAGACCAAGCAGCCTGAAAAGTCCTATGAGCTGATGCCCAGTCTGGAGCTCGCTGCTTCCGTCAACCCAGTTGGCATCAAACATGGCACAAGTCAGTGAGATAGACAAACCCCGACCTATTCTTGCCCATCTCAAAAAGGCTTTTACTAAATCTTCCAGCCCGCAGTTTTTTCTCCTGTGTGATTTGAGGAGCATTTTTTGTGAATCAGCTTTCTAGTCATTTCTGGACGGTCATGCGCAAAAGGACGGCCTTTCTTTCATTTACAGTAAAGAATAACAACATTGTAGTCAGTCCTTTCCAACATGACCAGAAGGTAACGGCTATACTTCATTCCTCATTCTTTCTTTTTCCTTACACAACAGAAATTTGTCTTTCTGGTTATTCAGGTTCAAACTGTGCTGATCAGTGCTTGTTTAAATGAGCGGTGAACTGAAACCTAAAACACAAAAGCCATGACTGTAAGGGTTGTTTCAGACACACCACAGGGTGATTTTAAAACACCGTTACGAGCTTCTTCAGGTAACACTTTATGCTGACAGTTGGAGCCCATTTAAGCTGATATTTACGAGAAATGGTTCACACCAATGGTGTGTCTCCATGAACATGAGAAACATGAGAAAACATGCAACCCCCTGCTAACAAGCAATAAAATAAGAAGCATTAATGTTTCCAAAATATTAATAGGCCTAAAATTACAATTTATGCAGTTTTTATAATAGAAACAATTTAAAAAACTACAAATTAAAGACAAACTAGGCAGTGAGAGAAACCGGACAAGATTTCACGAGCTCGTGAATTACGCCACCGCCCCTCCTTCAGATAGAGATCGACTTTATTAAACACACACTGGGGAAATTCACTTGTTACAGCAGCACAAGAGTGAAAAAGAAAACGTGAAGTGGAGAAATATTAGAAAGTAAACAAAAACTCAAAAGTACTAAAAAAGCAGAATTAATAAATCCCTACAAAAAGAGTATTTTGTGTTATGTACAAATGGTACTATATACAGTAAAAATACCTACCTATCCATAATCTGTGAACATTATCTGCAGGGTTATTGTAAACCTGTCAATCCTGCTTTTGGGTGCTTTCTTTTTGGTAGGGTGTCACCACAGCGGGTAGCTCCCCAGGTTTAGATTCTGTACATTTTTAAGCCAGATGCCCGTCTTGATGCAATTCTAGAGATTTGCATCACATCCCAGAATCGAAGCAGGGATCAGTCACTTGTTAGGTCAAAATATAAACCCTACACTGTAGAACCACTGTTTAACATTGCTATGTATTTCTTTAGCAGTAACTATTAGCTAACTAAAAATCAATTAACCATAGCTACACTTCTTTATAATAATCATCAATAAGAATAATAAAGTGTTACCAAATCTCTGGAGTGCAGAGGTTTAGTCAGCAGCCATATCATACATAGCTTTTTATACGGTTGTAGTTTTTTCGAGGCAGTTTATATGCAGTCGTCTCCAACTTTGACTTGACAGATGGATGATCTTTTTTTGTCTTTCTATTTTAATAAGTGCTCGAACATAACGAAGGTAGCTTTTTCTCTAGTCACACTGAGTCTTATCTGTAGCTTTGTGAGCGTTATGACAGTTTAAGCCATAATCGGAGCTGAAATGCAAATGTAAAAGCACAAACTAAAGACTGTTGTGTCCACTCTATTCTGATCACTTGAAGGATGATTCCAGTGTTATGAAGAGTTGTAGCACATCTACATCTACAGCAACTGCTCTCCCAGCTAAGAGAGAAACGTTGTAAGTGTCTTGTTTTCAAAGGATCATTTTCCTGGTGGAAAAATTCAATTTCTTTCATTCTGCCTTATTTCCTGAAAGCAGGCAGGGGGGAATGAAACTGAGTTTATTTTAATGTTGGTGGATCATCTAAATCCTGTACGTTTCTTTTTTCAAGAATGAAAGATAGAAACTGAAGTGATTTTTTTTTTTTAAAGATGTTGATATGGAAAATTTAAAACACTGGAATTATTCTTCAGCCTTCAAATTCTTCGACTAAAGCTACTAAGCCTAATTGTTTTATCAACATATTGATTAAACCTTACTAACCATTTACTGCATGTGTGTGTCAGTGTCGTGTGTTTGGTGATCAGAGATCCGTTCAGTAGAGTCGACGTTACTGATGTTTCCTTGTTTAAGGATTTGACCTCAATCTGCAGCTCAGTGTCGGTGCCGGTCTGTGTGGAATCACAGGATTGAAAAGACTTTTGTGGATCTGAAACAATGACTGATGTTGTGTTTGCTCTGTGTGTGTGTGTGTTGAAGTGCTAGGGTTAATCCCCAGCTGAGCACCATCATAAGCTGAATCACACCACAACGCCAATTTGTGTAACTTATTTATTTCCACTTCTTGCTGAAATTGAACCCTTCACCCTGTTTGTGCTGTTCTCTCTTCGCCTCTGTAGTGTTTTATCTCTATAAATGATTGGATGCATGTGTGCGCTTATCTGTTATTTCCTGAGTAGTGTTAATATTTGGATGATGCTCTGTTGTCTCCAGTCTGTTATCCAAGCTCTCATTTGTGTGTCTCTCTATGTGCAGTGGCATTACAGACTCTGGGTGGGCAGTACCCAGTGTTCAGCGCCACTCCTGCAGCCAAGCTGATGGAGGAGGGGAAGGTGCACACAGTGGAGCATCTTATCAACCCTCTGGCCATGCAGCACCCCGAACACTCCCCCGCTGCTGCTGCTGCTACTGCTGCTGCTGCTGCCACCGTCCTACCTGCGGTCTCTACCCCTCCACCCTTCCAGGTGGGTATTATTCACGGGGTCAAAGGGAGTCGGAATGACATTCAGATAATGAGCAATTTAGTGGGATTGGCAGGTCAGTGCATATTACGGTTATATTAATTCAATTTTTTAGATTTGTGTGGCTGCCGTTGCTCCTGGTAACACTACGGATATACTTTCTCAGTAATAAGAAAGCTATGACATCCAACAGCCCACTTAACACCCTCATCATATCCTTTTTTTTCTTCTCATCCCTGTGATGCGTTCATGGTGCAGATGGCAGGGGCGATCGTGGCTCAAGAGTTGAGAGGTCGCCTTGTAATCGGAAGGTTGCCGGTTCGAGCCCCGGCTGGCTGTGGCTACAATGTAGCTTGCCATCACCAGTGTGTGAATGGGTGGATGACTGGATGTGTAAAGCGCTTTGGGGTCCTTAGGGACTAGTAAAGTGCTATACAAATACAGGCCATTTACCATGTAAAGTTGCAGTGGCTGTAATTCAGCACCTGCATACCACTACAAAAGAAGCGCAAGCATAAACTGAGTGATGTTTTTTTAAATAGGAGGGTAACTTCATGGTCAACTTTTCAAGCAGCTTGACAAATATCTCAGAACAGAACAGCTGTTTCTGCACAGTTTGTTCCTAAATGTGTGTGTGAGCTAAGAGAGAGAGAGGAAGAGAAGCAAACGTTAATGTGCAGGACTGGGAAACGGAGAAAGATGTAAGAAAGACGATGAGAGATTATTTTCCAAAGTTTTTCAATCATTTTTGAGATCGATGCATGATCTGAACTCATACTTGAAGTATACAAATTCCCTTATTCAAACTTTGCATGAAAATACTTTAGGTCTACTGAGCTGGTTGGTAGACGTTAGTTCAGGCTAAACTGGTGAGTTTGCAGTTTTGTGACGTTAAGTTACATCACACATCAACTGATACTTAACGTGATGATGCTGACTAGATTCACTCTCTTTTTACTCATTTTATGGTGTCTGGGGGTTTGAAAATGAACCATACAGCTCATGAAACATCTCATTATATCTTGCTGAATTTGGCTGGCCAAATCCACAAAGAGCAGTGAACAATAGAGTAGCAGCACAGGTCAGCTGATCGCAGCCTTGCAAAGCAAGTTATTATGTGGATTATTTCTTAAGGAGTTCTTTTCCCCACGCTGCACCTCTATAACCACGTCTCAAGGTTCCCTCACCTGCCAAAACACACTGTGTTAGACAGATTGTTATAACGGATGCCCTCTATTGCAACCCCAAAAGGATTTATGTCTCTCCCTGGAATCGAACTGGAGATCTTTCACTGGGCATCCAGATGTGTGAGCTATTATCCTGTGGAGCTGTAGAGGGAAGGTGCAGTAGAGACTTATTATAATCATTCACGTTAAGCACCAATAGCAATGCTTTTATTTCATTTATTGACAGGAGGCTGGGGAGTCTTTAGTTTCCCTTTAAGGACGCTGGGGCCCAGGTTGAAGCCCAGGGCCCATACTTAGCCCATGTGTGATTCAGACCTTAAAGAAAAGATTAACTTAGCGACTGTGAAGCCGTGACTTGAGATTTTTACGGCTCTATCTGGCTGTTTTGAAACCAGTTGTGATTAGGGATGGGCTGGTCTGACTGAGAAAGAGATGGTCCGCACTCATTCTGTAGCAGCCTGCCCCATTGCTACATAAGCCCCCCCCCCCAAAAAAAACAAAACAAAACTGTGCTTTATTATTCTTTACGGCTCTAATGGGGACCATACTTAACAAAATAAACATCATGCTGCATTCAGTAAGACTTGAAAGTAGTCATTAAGACCATAAACCTATCAGCAAAGTGTTTACTGAGGTCATGGATCAAGTGAGTATTGGGGTCATGTTTCCATAAACTTTTGCATTTCTTTGTGCAGAGTTGCTTCCCCCTTCTGGTCAATAGAAGGAATTCAGGTTTAAGTCACACTGGCTTAAATTCTATGTAAAAGGAAGCTATGGCCACCCTTCTTATGTAAATTAAATACAGGCATTGTGGGCACGCTTTAAAAATCTCCTTTTTCTAATTCACTTTCTTTCCCTACGCAGGGCCGTCCAATCACTCCAGTCTATGCCATGGCCCACAACGTACAGCGCATCCCAGCAGCTGGTGGTCTGTATGGACCTGGGTATGTCCCCATCACAAACTACACTGCCAACACAGCAGCTCTGGCAGCTCTGCAGAAAAACGCAGCCGTGGCGGCTGCAGCATACGGAGGTTACGCCGGCTACGCGGTGCCCCAGGCCTTCCCCGCCACAGCCTTCCAGCTGCCCATCCATGATGTCTACCAGACATACTGATTAAGAGGCTCAGATCCTGCCTGTGACTGAACTACATCTCAGCATTGTCTGTCCCATCACGTAGAAACATCTCAAACTTGAGCTCGAAAGGAATTTGTAGCAAATATTAAAAGCACACACAGTGACAAACAGCCTGACGTCTCCTATCGGCCTCGGTATGTCCTCAACCCAAGGTGAACATAGTGTTTCTAATTAGGCAGCATCACTGTTTTCTACTGAATAATGTAACAAATGTAACAAACGACAACTCCCAATAACACCCCTCTGCCTTTTTTGTTTCTCTCCGAATCCCACCACGGGAACACCGAAGGTACGTTCAAGTATTTATGAAGAGAAGATATATATTTAAGGTGTCTATTCTTTGTCGCTCTCTCTTTCCATGTTGCCGTGGTATTTGTTCTAGATTTGAAACTATTTTCAGAGTAACAATAAAAAAGAGAGACGAGTTAATCGTAAGGAAGAAAAACTACAACAGGAACTACTGATAAATACCGCTGAAGACTGCTGTCTTCAGATATACTAATGCCTTTTTTTCCCCCCATCATTATATAGTATTTTAGCCAATTTTACATGCTGTAGGTGATGCTGTCCGTCCATGCTGGTTGAATGCTTTGAACACGCCTGTTTGGTACTTTTTGGTTATTGTAGTTTTTATTGTGTTTTTGGTTGTTTTACATGAAGGTTCTAGGTTTTCTAGGTTGCATTTATTTACCTATAATTAGCTCATTTTTGCTCTTTTTTTTTGCTTTGCAAGGTTGTTTCTCTATCTCCTCTTTGATACATTGAAACACATTTGTTGGTTTTCTTTGAAGAAATGTTGCCTGCTAAATATTTGTTATTTTGACAGATTCCTGTTGGGAACAAATAATTAAGAAAGAAAACTGGAAAGCTTTTTGAATGATGTTCAGCTGACATGGAAAATGTTCCACATTTAAAGAAACGGCGGTAATAGGGGATTAAGACTGAATAGATGTTAGCTGTTTTTTGTTCTTACTCAGTTATGTATGTTTTTTTCTGATGTTTTTAATTGTGAACAACTACGGACAGAAATGAGAGACATTTTTCTATCTGGACTGGAGCACTCTATCACTTGAACAGCTCGTACTTTTTGCCAGTGCTGACCAAAAACCTTAACATCCACTTCAGTCTGAGGACTTTAGAAAGACTCCTGACTACAGTGCCTTACATCTACACGCTGTTTATGCAACTGCCTGCTTTTCACTGTGCCTTTTTGTAAGAAAACCAAGCCCGCGTGTTTTGGCACAAAGAAGAATTTGTATATCCCATGATGCAGATTTGTGGTATTACTGTATTGAGGTTTCAGCTTTTGTAGCCAGATGTGCCAAGGTTGCCTCCATCCTCTTCCGAGGTGCACGTAAATGTATTTATAAAAGGCGAGAAGTTGCCACTTTCAGATGAAGAGATATCAAACGTGTGAACTGGAGCAAAGTTTGTGCTTCTTCTCATATAAAGCCTGCAGCTCCTCAATGCTCAGCGGGCGCTTTGAAAACTCTGCAGTGCATCTACACAAGTGTACTTGTGGACTGGGAATAACTGGGAGCAATACATCCCACTGGAATATGCAAGTATTGTAACACTCTAATTCAAACAGCTGCTGATCATGAAGTCACACTCCACAAGAGCCATCCTTTATGAAAAATGCCAAACATTTGAGTGTCCTTTTATTTGTAAACCAGCTCTTTTTTCTTTTGTATTATTATTATTCTCCTTCACCGCATTCGATGGTATTTTATTTGCTAATATGAGGGCTCCCTGGCTTTTAAGTTTAGGCCCAAGAGTGTGAGTGAAAAGACTGCTTAACTAGTCCATAGTTGTGTAATCTCACTCTGTATTCTGCATTTTACTGCTTCTCTCTCTCCTTTGAAACTGGATTTAATGTAGAAAACAAACTGCTGTTAACGGCTCTTATTATGATCTTGTACGATGACAATAAGTCGGGATATATTTAATATATGCATTACGTGTGTTGTTTATGAAGTGAGAAGAAAAGGCATAATATATTGTAAAACCTATTTGTTTTCTTTATTTACACCTTGTTTAGGTATAAAAGTCAGACTAACAAAAGTAGATTCTTTTTTTCCCCCAAAGTGTCCAATAGTTTGTTAAACATTGGAGGTTATTGTGCTTTTGTTAGGTGTAACGTTGTGTTTGCTATTTGGAACTGGACGCGGTGTTTAGAGTGGGAACGCCAAGTTCTCCCCGTTATCGATATCAAAGGTTAAACCTGGCCCGCCGAGGCGTTACGACCCATTGGCGCCTCCGGCTCAATGTGTTGCAACTTTTTTTGGCTAAATAATTAAAAGATCTAATGATGGGTGGATGGGGCAATGATTTAACCTTCACCAAAATTTCACGTGGTTTTAACAACAGAAAACTGCATTCTCCCTTCCACTCACAGCACCTGCTTTACTTTCCATCACCTGCATTTCACCCACAATGCAGCAGCGGCAGCAGGACGATCTTCCTGTGTCAGTATGGAGCTGCGCGTGCCTGGTTTAACTTAGATGTTCGGGTTTAGCATCTTTAACTCTTCGTAGTGTGTGCCTTTATTGCCAACATGTGCCCTTTGTAGACCTATGCAGACTCTTTTCTATCAGAAGGCCCCGTTTCCTTGTTCAGCATTGGTATATTTATAGTGATATAGTAGATAAATAAAGCATTTTTGAAAGGATGCACTCTTGCCGTCCATCGTTTTGTCTACTTGGTTTTCTTTGTTAAACATTAGCCTTGGATTAAAGTTGGCAAAGGTTGCAAGTGCTGAAAAGGGGACTTCAGCGCCGACTTCTGTGAATGGAAACCCATGTCTGACCTCATACATCAACTATTATTAAGCAATGTCACAGGAGGAGCACAGTGTTTCATAAACTCCTCTGTGGCACCTCAACTTTAATCTAGAAACACGCTGTACCCCAGCAGGAGGATTTAGATCACGTGGTGTGGTACAGTATGCTCAGGAAAAGGTAAGTTTTTTTTCAGCAGGCTCAGATTTCAGCCAAATGGTCACATGTTTAACTACTAAAATTGAATAAAGCGTAAAAACGCCTGAGTATCGGGCCTGTGTCGGACGGCAGCAACGCCAGCAGTGAATCCATTTCAAGCAAGATCACGCTCTGGACACATGAACATGGCCTGTGAACTCTCACCAGCTGCTGTTACGCACACAAGCACAACTTCTCACTGGAGAGGATTTACACATTTATTTAACACTGCTAAAGAGGGTTTATTTTAGCTCATATCTGTTAAAGTAACCAAGAAAAAGCAGAGTGAAGAAATGCTTAATGTCAGGCAGATCATGGAGACACAGTAAAAACAGTGAATGAAGCCTTTGTCAGATTTTTTTCATCAGATCTTAAAATTAAGTAAATACAAACAGCACTTGACATATTACAGTGTGTCATTGTTTATTTGACAACAAACTGAGCTAAAATGCAGAAGCAGAAGTAGACCCCATGATTCAGAATCAGAATACTTTATTGATACAGGCATATATATATATACATAAAAGTCACTTATTAATAAATAGCTGAAAAAGAACATGTGCAAAAAGGGTGTAGCTGTTGCAGTAAACAGTGTGTTAAGTGGATGCGTTGTACAGGGAGATGGCCACAGGCAGGAATGATTTCCTGTGTCGTTCAGTGGTGCTTTTCGGTACTCTGTCTTTCACTGAACGTGCTCCTGTGACTGACCAGCATGTCATGGAGTGGGTGGGAGGTGTTATCCAACATTGTCTTTATCTTGGACAACATCCGCCTGTCCGACATCACCTTGAGGGAGTCCAGTTCCATCCCCACAACATCACTGGCCTTACAAATCAGTTTATCGAGTCTGTTGGCATCTGCTACCCTCAGCCTGCTCCCCCAGCATGCAACAGCATAGAGGATCGCACTGGCCACAACAGACTCGTAGAAAATCCTGAGCAATTCAGAACCACGTTTAGCAGCAATAAGTTAAAGGAGTGTGTTTTCTGCCCCGTCTTCCCCCAACCGGGCGCAGCAGATGGCTGCACCTCCCTGAGCCTGGTTCTGCTGGAGGTTTCTTCCTGTTAAAGGGGAGTTTTTCCCTCCCACAGTCTCCTAGTGATTGCTTAAAGGGGGTTATTTGATTATATTTGAGTTTTATCTCTATTATTGTAGGATCTTTACCTTACATTATAAAGCGCCTTGAAGCACCTGCTGTTTAGATTTGGCGCTGTATAAACAAAACTGAACTGATTTGCATGACAAGTGTTGCTTCAGTTCACTGAGGTTTGAGGGCATTCACATTCACAGCTCTCTTAAGGTCCCACTGCAGCGTTTCAGTTGTATTTGGATTAGGGCTGCCACAAACGATTATTTTGATAGTCGACTAGTCACCGATTATCAGATCGTGCATCCATTTGGACGTAAAAGTACAGCTTATTGCACCAGCCTGCATCTGCTCTTATATAACTATCATTAGTGTTTAAGCTTTAAGTGTTTAAGGTCTGTGCTAACTAAAAATAAGGACAAGATGCTAGTTTATTACATTTTAATGAAATTTGCAGATTGTTTTGGTGAAGTTTAATAAACTCCTTGCTATCTAAAATATAACAGGACACCGGAGTATATTCTCGAGCATCTCACACTTCTGATAATCAGCTGTCTGCTTGACGTTTATTCAGCTGTGTAAAAACTAGAACTTTAATCTCAGCCAAACCGATTTACTCAGGAACAAATAAAATACTAAAAAAAAGCCAAACATTAACATTTTTAAGTTATCTAAGTGACTCATATATGTTTAACCTGAGTAGCGAAAGACGGTGGTGGGTTTGAAAACGATTTGCCGGGAGTCCGGTGTTCTCACGGCTCTAGTGAGCCTTGCCCCCGGCTAGTTATCGAGCTGGTGGGTAACAGATGTCTCCGAAAACGTCGGAGCGCTTTTGAAAATATGTGGTCTTGATAAACTGAGCAAATATTTGAGGTTTACACAGCTACATTCTCGCCTGAAAATATGTTAAACGTTTGTTTTATGACCCAGAAAGAATAATAAGAGTAATATTAAAACTAACTAGCTGCCGCCATTGTTGGAAACTGAGCTGGGCTGCGCTATGAATTCTGGGACAGAGCCAGTGTTGCCAACTCCTCAGTAAGGAAAATCGCTATTGGTTGTCCTAAAAGTCGCTAGAAGTCGCTAAATGACGTCATCACCAATTAGCATAATTGGTCATGCTAATGTAATTGTAACCTATGTTGTTGGAGAGAGAAATAACATCATGGAAGAGACATAAAGTGAGTAAAAAACGTCCTAAATGCATTTAGAGTTTATTTAGAACTACAAAATAAATTTCTTTTAGCAATTATTGTTTTTTTTAATGTCACAATTCCAACCCTGCTCCTTTACCCGGGCTTGGACCGGCAAAAGTGACCCGAAATAGGCACTCTGGTGGAGTTACTTTGTGTGTGTGTGTTTATAAGTAGTTTTAAACCTTGTGATCCACAAAACAGCATAAGAGTAAAAGAGTAAAAGAAGAACTGACTGCGTTACAGCACCCGCTGCTTGTTGAGAGTTACAAAGACGCTAAGTTGGCAACACTGGACAGAGCTACTTCTTCTTTGGGGTTTAACGGCAGCTGGCATTCTTGTACATGCAGTGCTGCCATCTTCTGTTTCAGTCCGTTATTACAATCTTAAATTCTACTACTTATTCCTGCGTCTTTTGTGATCTAAGCTTCAAACGAGCCGTCGACTATTAAATCAGTCGTCGACGATTTTGATAGTCGACGTAATCGTGACTAGTCGACTAATCGTGGCAGCCCTAATTTGGATCATTTTCACTTTTGACTAACGTCTTCAACACCATTACATCAACACCATAACGATCAATGCCCAACAAGTTGAAGTTGCACTATTTTGTATTTATTTTACTCCAAGGATATTAACTTGAATCATTTATTAACTAACCACAATTAGAGGCCATTTTAAAGATGTGATAAAAATAAGAGCTTTTTAATGATCTACCACTAAATTAACAAAACAGAAAACTATATATATCTATCACTGAGTCTTGGAGAGGAAACACTTTTACATCCTAAAAAGGAAGTTTGACTTCTAAAATGTAAGCTGTCACAAAAACAGGCTCCAGACCCACCAGATGGTATTACAGCTCTACCACAGAGATCTGCACAACTCAAATAAACAATTTACACATAAACAACACAAACCGCTCACCTTAATAAACTGGACTGGGCTAAAAACACCACAGCACTTTACAGGAAGGGCCAGAGTCGTCTCTATTTTTTGAGGCGACTGAGGTCCTTCAACATCTGCCAGAAAATGCTGAGGATTTTCTATGAGTCTGTGGTGGCCAGTGCGATCCTCTATGCTGTTGCATGCTGGGGGAGCAGGCTGAGGGTCGCAGATGCCAACAGACTTAATAAACTGATCCGTAAGGCCAGCAATGTTGTGGGGATGGAGCTGGACTCCCTCAAGGTGGTGTCGGAGAGGCGGATGCTGTCCAAGATAAAGACAATGTTGGATAACACCTCCCACCCACTCCATGACATGTTGGTCAGTCACAGGAGCACGTTCAGTGAGAGACTGAGATTACCGAAAAGCACCACTGAACGACACAGGAAATCATTCCTGCCTGTGGCCATCTCCCTGTACAACGCATCCACTTAACACACTGTTTGCTGCTACAACTACACATGTTTCTTTTCCAAATATTTATTTATGAGTGACTTATGTATGTATGTATGTATGTATATATATGTATATATTGTACTATTCTTAGTTAGCGTATTGTCTGTCTTGTCTTAATGTTGGTTTATAATGGAGCACTGTAACAAAAAATAATTTCCCCCAGGGATCAATAAAGTATTCTGATTCTGATTCTGATTAATCCCAAACAGCAGTCAAAACTCATTGAACTCTATCCAAAATACTATCTCAAACCCAGCATTTTAAAATAACCCACACTTCCTTAAAAATAATTCCGATAAGTATAGATCAATGTGAACCTAATTCACTTATTTCTTTCTTTCCAGTGACACACAGCATATCATCTGAAAAACAATATAAGGTTTACTATCAGGACATAGAAATTAATCATATGGTTTTTAGCAAGTCTTAAAATTAGATGATTACAACCTCAAACAAAAACACGATATCTTACACTGTGTCATCATTTAAACTTTTTTAATAGTGTCTAATGTCTTTGCCTTTCCCTTACAAACTTCAGTAATATAATATGGAGATTCTTAGACACAACTTTATTCTTTTTTTCTGTAGGCTGCAAACAGTTTTACAACAGTTTTATTGTTCTGGAAGCATTAATATATGATCCTTAAGCCGGACGCCTAGTTGTACTTGCTAACACTGTATCAAACTTGCATGTAGACAAAGCCTTTGATTGAATTATAATTTTATATTTATTCCCACTCTTAAAAACGCCTGAGGCTGCAGCTGAAAGAATACAAAATTTAACTGTATTTTAAACATTAACTCAATAAAATACTTGATTGTTGTCAATCAGTTGTGATATTAATGTATGTTAACTTTTCACCAGGTTTAATTCCAGACTTCATAAAGGCTGAACTTTATTAACATTCTTAATGACCAAATCACTTAAGGAGCACATTTTTAAAACTACATCATGCTGCAGTGTTTGCTCACACACTGCTGTATTCATTGCTGTCTGTATTATGTTTAACCTCTTT